GCCCCGCCGCAGCGTACCACGGCGCTTGAAGCAACTATTTCACACCAGAGGTATTGCACAGTATCTTACGAAATTGAAGGTGCTCCAACATATTAGGAATGACAGGCATCCTTCAAAAGTACGGAGCTTTCCTCGCAAAAGAAATCAATATACTACAGCCCAAAAAGAGAGCGGTAGTCCAAAAACTCACTAAGTCCTAGCATCCGTAATTAGTAACGTTTAGCATACACTTTATCGCTAGGCTGTTGCTTAATTGCCATCGGCTATAAAAGGCTATGAGAAATTGTGTTGCCGGCTATAGAATCTATTGAAAATCTTACTGCCGGCTGTAGGTCTATGGTATTTTGGAGTGCAGATTCTACTGCCAATTTTTACCAGGGTGACCCGAACTTCGGCAGCTGGACCTCAAGTTTTCGGATCACGCAACCAAAAACTTCAGAGATCCATATGACATCAACCTCAGATCCCACGCACGAAGCTTTTTCTCCGTGTATATATTTGCGTCAAAAATTCACTAATTTTCTAACAGGACATATAAGATGAATGAAAGAAGGATCAATTTAAGGTTACTGAATATAAGAAGCTACGGGTTTCTGTGTTGCCAAAAAAGCGCATAAAGCGATTTTAGGCCTAAAAATCCAAGATGGCGGCTGAAGCTTCATTTTAGGAACGGTGCAATATTAACCATGCAATATTAATTTTTTCAAAAGACCTATTATGAGGCCCTTAAAGAAGTTTAAGGGCCTCATAATAGGTCTTTTGAAAAAATTTCCAGCTCTCCAGCATTTAATTCAATATTCATTCCCTTGGTGCCTGGCCTAACAGGCCCACCCGGCAACGGAGCTCGGACCGAGAGGTGAAGGATTAAATTTATCGCTGCTAATTGCCGATTTTTCAAGAGCCTTTGAAAAGTTTCCCGCGGAGACAGCACTGGTCGAGCCGCGAATGGCGAAGAAGAGGGGGTGAGAGGGGGCTGAGGGAAGGGGGAGGGGGGAGGGAGGTAATGAAGACGCCTCAGCGTTCATCGGCTCAGCAGCGGGGTGCGCGGACGCCGCGCCGACGCACAGTGGACTGAGGTAATAGGAGATGTTGGACAAAATTTGGAAACTTTAACGCTTATACTGCCGTCCTAACTGCTAAGGAAGAACGCCGCGTGAACATTCGAGAGTTGCTAAATTTCCTTCGGTAAAATTTTTATTTTTAGAAAAAGTTATGAATATTTTTCCTTGAAATTTTCAGGAACTTCAGGTGAAATTGCGGACAAAATTATCTGAAAAATCGGAAGAAAAATGTTTACAAACATTCCCGAAAATTTGTGATTTACCAACATAAATTTGGCAACGCCTGAAGGTTTATACGGCGTTTTTCCTCAGCACGGCAGTATAGCTCCGTTTATGCAAAACTTTGAGCTTTTATTTGTGATTCTATTAGTTTTTTCGTGAAATTTAGTCCTTATAGCACCCCTTGAAATGAAATTGTGACGAAATAAACACCAACATTTGCAGTTTTTGTAAAAAATTTCATGTTCGACCTCGCTAATTGACTCGATCCACTGTGCGACGAATGAAGGAGCAAGCTGCACGCTGCATAGTAGATATAACGAGGATTCAAAAGAGGGAAGATCAGACGGAGGGATGAAGACGGCGAGGTGGGTGGGGGTGCGGGGCTCCATTAAAGTACATGAGAAAGCAATTAATTGAAAGCCATCGTGGAATTTAAATAAGCGGGCCGTTTCGGTGTCGTAGTCTCGGATTCCCGTGGTTTAGCTTTGTCAACCATCGAGCATGGAATCCGTAATCTCCAACACTTGTATTTGGATATCCATGCTCGCGTCAAGCGCCGCGGACTCACGGCTACGTATCATCGCGGATTGATTGAGCCTTTATTCACTTTAGGATCCATCACAAGGGTTTGCGGTGTAACTTCGCACTAAAGATGAATTCTTCGCGAGGAGATTTGGTCGACTTCTTAGGCTTGTACACACGCTCAAATTTCCGTCAATTTCCGATTAAGATGATGACAAAAATGGCGGTCAAACTTTTGCAGGCCGCAAAAATTTGATAGTAGATGGTGCGCGCTAGTCACCATTTGATGGGAAATTGATGAGTAAGAGCGTGTATCCAGGCCTTTTCAACCAGATCAGCAAGGTTGCAAACCAAAGGAGAAAAATGCTCTGATGCTGACGAGAACCAATCTCAGCTGCTTGATGAATTTTGGCCAACGTTTGCATCCATCCACTTTGGGATGTGGTCGTCACTGGTTAATAAAGTCAACCAGATCTACCGGCGAATATTCGCACGAAGAGGCATTTAAAAATTAAGTTTTACTTTAAGGATATTCTCGACTCCATCTCTCCTCAGCGTTTGATGAGAAGAACACGAAAATGCGAGAATACTTGGTTTCAAACGATGTAAAGCATTCACTTAGTCCGCACTTTCACCTCAGTCAAAATTCAAGGCACATTTCTGACAGTATATGACAAATCTCCGATTCAGATAAATATCTGTCTTTTTCTGAATTCTAGTACAAGTTGCAAAATATCTTTATCTTCCTCAATATGTCTTCACTCCGATACGTTTTGTGTGGTTACACTGGTTTGCGTTATGCCGCAATCACACGCTGAATGTGGGAGCTGATTGTGGCTTGAATGTGGAAGTCATCGGCCCGATGCCTGTTATTGTTACAAAGTTATACAGTTAACTACAAAGTCCTACAGTCCTACTAGTACTAGTACAGTCTACTAGTACTAGTACTAGTACTAGTACTAGTACAGTCCTACAAAGTTATTGTTGGAGCAATCGCAGATTACATTGCTCACATAATCAACACAGGGCAAAACAGGGTTACATAGAGCCTTTTGAAGAGACCAGTTTCCAGCATTAATTCGATCGTTAAGTTCAAAAAATGAGTATCTCCGATTGTGATCTGCATCTCCGTTGACGTTTTATTTTCAGTTTAAACATAGACAGCCATTGATTTTTCCTGACATTTTGTTAGTAATGATGAAGACTCAAAGGGTCATCGAAGATTTTGAAACATCGAAATAGAGTTACACATTCTTCAATTTCAGCTATTAAAATAAATTATTAATTTAAACTTATTTGTGTGTCGCCTTCCTAAAATCTTAGCAGACTTTTGGATACTCATCCGCCAAATAAACTCAAGTTTGTGCTGTAACTATTTTGAGTGTGAGATCTCACTTTCTATCTGATAGCAATGTTTTTACATAAAGGATGTATGAGCCTTTAGATAGGTAATGGAATTTTACCATCCAGATATAGGCTATCAATCTTAAAGTCAAGATTGATAGCGGTCAAGAGCGCCTTACTCTACGAGTAGATAACTATTCGCGCTTCGATGTAGGTCATTACATAACCGTGTAGATGAAGGCGCTCGGAAAACTATGCAGGCTGTAACTTCGCTACCTCTCGCAAAGTAGATGGACACATACTCTTCAGATTGAACAATACTTTCTATGGAACTTTACAGAACGACTAAAGAATGTTATAAAGTTTCGAGTGAAAGAGCCTCAATTTAAAATCTGTCTGCTTCTTGCAGTGTCTACTCATGATCGTTGACAGAGTTTCCTAAAAAAAAAGCCTAAAATATTAATTTAAGTTTGCTATGCTCGGAATCCTCCTTCCGATCCGACCATTTGAAGAAATCGTTTACAGTGGCGTGACGTGCATTGCGATATATCGATTGATCTGCCATTTAAACGTGAGTAAAAGTATCGATAAACAGGGTGTTCGCAACGAACACCTAAAAATCGATTATTTATCATAGCTCCAAATGAGGAGTTATCGATAATCGACCGTTCACGCCTCACTACTAACCGTTTAGACTCTCTTTGAGTAATAGATTTAATTTAAAGCAAGAGATATTTGCCTGAAAAGAGAAACTATGATGCCAAAAGGGCAGGACAATTTTTGGCCCGTGGATGTTTAATCATATTGAAATGGAACATTTCACGAAAACACGACTTCGAAACTTCACGCTGTAACATTTCAAAAGCATTTTCGCACTTCTTATAACTGCATTTTGAAAACATATCTGTGCCGCTTAATCGAAAAACGCTTCCATAAAATTACAGTCTAAAATTTGTCTGATTTTTGCATGAGATCTGAAGAAAAATCGGTGAAATTGTTAGGTGGAAATGTTCAAGAATCTCCAGGTTAAAATGCAATTTGTAAGTGGAAATCTGGCAAAATTGAAATTTAGGTATGTACTTTCGTGGAAGAAACGACGGATTGATCGACTAATCAGAACATAGACGGACACTCACACACACAAATTGTACTGGAAAAAAAAACACATTGGATCTAGACTGCCGTGCTAAGCAAGAACGCCGTAAATCCATCAAAATTTTCCCTCGTTTTTTGGAACTTAACACTTTAGGAAATAAAAACCGTTTTACCCATGCACCTCAAATTTTCAGGTTAAGTTCTGGATAGTATTTTCGAGAGAATTCAGTAAAAACATTGTTCCGAAGTACACAAGTTTTTCTGCTTATGATACATTGTTTCTAAAAAATGTAAAATGGCGTTTACGGCGTATTTGCGTCGCACGGCAGTAGAGTCCATACTCTTGAAAACATTCACAAGAAAAAATACTCTTGATTCAATAAGATTTTTGCCTAAATCAAAAGGAAATCCGCTCAAATTAAGATGTTTGGTTCTTGATCTAAGCTTAAATCCGATTGAATCAAGAGTATTTTTTCTTGTCGATGTTTTTAAGAGTCTGGACTCTAGATCCAGTGTGTTTTTCCCAGTGTGGTTCTTTTTACCACAGCGATACAAGATAGGATAAGATTTATTTTTGAGTTTTTTAATAGGAGGGAGAGGGGGCGGTGTATCTATCAGTGGCGGAGAGCGTGCCGTTTGCGGTGGGTGCGAATGTTGCGCGCGCGACGGCCGAAAGTTGGGACGGGGGGAGGCGCTTGGTTTGGGGTTGAGGTTGGGGTCTGGGACTGCTTTGAGGGTTGCGTCAGTTGGTCGGCATGTGCGCGGCCTCATGGACGCCCGGTTGTGTACGCTCATCCAAGTTCTAGCGATCTTCGTCACCACGCTGCGCTCAGGTAAGCACATAACCACGTGCTCACTTTGATATCCGAGTTTTGCATGCCGAAAACTGCCGAAATGCAACGCGTTGACGAAAATCAATTTTTTAGAAAGCTTACTAAGAAAACCAAGATTTTTCTAAAAAATTCCGTTTCGAAGTGATTTAAAAAGTGATTTCAAGTGATATTCGGTGGGCCTCTTTCATGGGGGGCGTTTTAGCGACCCTCATGATGGGGGCACTGTAGCAAATTTTTCCCCTCATCACAGAAAAAAAAAGTGATTTAAACGTCTAATCCGTACTATTTAATGACTCTGAGGTGCTCCTTTGTATTAAATGTTTCCAGTGTTCACGGCGGCAGAATCAACGGCAAAAAAATGACAAAAGTTCAACTAAATAATTTCTCACGGACGTTGAGTGCCAATTTTATCTCGCGCTTCTTTTATCAGACCCCGAAATGCTTTATTCGTAAAGTTTTTTTATCGTCTATTTCCTGATCTTTTGTGGAGAGTTTCTTGAATTTTTATTCGTTCCGTGACACGGAAGTTAAGTCCATTATTGTAAAAAAAAATGACCTGGTAGATTATGGCGGCTAAATATTCGTCAGAACTGTAAATATTATTTAATAGAACCAATCAACAAGGATCGGGGAGCAGTTAATAAAGGACATCACAATTCGGCCCGCTGATAGTAATTGTACTTCATTCGATTTGAATTATTGGGAACGTAACTCCTCTCAGTTTCTCAGCGCGCTCATAGGATGTACATTCCTTCCCATGCAGATTTTATTAGTTGCGAGAAAATGGATGAGATATTTCAATATTTCTGGAAACCGTTCAATCGACGGATATTTTCTAAAAAATATTGAAGAGTAAGAATAAAAGAGTATGGCAGAGCTACAATTTTTACATTCTCCTCAAACAATGTCTGAGTTCTTTTCTTCTCCATTTATTTATTTTATTTAATGTTGAATTTTTAATTTTGATACATTTTAACTTAGAGGATCAAGGTTTCATAACCTGGAAACATTAAACGCTCCATGGCTCATGAGGTTCTGAGCGCCTTTGAAGTAGCTCTTTTTTTAAAGCTTATGTTTTGACTATATTTTAGTATCTTCTTCTGTACTTATCTTAAGCAGCTTTACTTTACAGCTTTAATGAAAAAATAATAATCGAAAATAAATTGTATTCTATGAAAGGTAGAACAATACATATTACTCACAGCTACATATTTCTGGTGAATTTAGAACGTGAGTCCATTGCTGCAGTTATGTAAATCGTTTTTTGATGGTTAAATTCTATAGAGTAGCAAAAAAGAATCAGTTATGTTTAAATGCCATGATCCTACGTTCTACATGCACGTAAATATGGTCCTTTTAAAACTCAAAATGTAGGTAAATAAGGTCAAACTTAGTGAAAAGCATTGCTTTCTCTACAATTAATCAAATATATGAGCATTGGTATCGGTTGCTGTACCTAAATCACTTAACAAGGTTGAATAAAGTATGGATTGCACTATAGCGACGAATTAACCGTGTCACTCGCAGGGTGGTATCTCCAATGACATTGAGTGCAGGAACTTGTAGCGACCCATCGATGGGTTTAGTACATTAACATGTCAAGTAATATTTTGTTTTGTTTATAAAGAAACAGGTGTGACGTTAATTGAAACACACAAGGCCAAAAAAATTAAACTGGGGCTGTAAGACAACAAATTAAATTCTGGCATTTTATTTTTCAAGTGTATTCTTTTAGATAATTTTCAAATGAAAAAATCAATTTTTTTTAAAAAAATATCACTTTGCCATGTTTGTGCAAAATGTGTTTTTTTTTTAAAAAGAAAAATCGTGTCGTGGCGAAAGGGAAATAATCAATGTTTTGGTTATCCCTCTACTTCACTTGTAATTTTATATAATTTACTGTAAGTAAGAGGATTGTAAATAGTAAAATTTTTCTGTAATATTAATGGGAAGACAATTAAAATGCCGGAAGACTGTATAATTAGCGAGAACCCCTGGTGATGGTTGACTACCGAAAAAAATTGGCAATTTTTTCAGTTTTTTTCCCCTTAGAGAGGAATGGCATTAAATGATACAAATAAACGTTGCGTAAGATGATAATGTCGATTGACGAACGCAGTGCTCACTGAATTAACTATTAAACCGCATTATTTATTTTTCTGTTTTATTTAATTGAGTTTGTGAGTGCAAAGGATCATACTGAAATATAAAAATTGCACAGAACAATGTTGTCAGTTTTCGGTGAAATTAGATTTTGTTTAGAATTTTAGTCATTTGCGTTCAAAACGGCTGTGCAGAAACTAGATTTGGAAAGAGGGGAGAACTGTGGATATCACGATTAATCTTGCGACCGTGAACACATTCATCAAAGGATCGCCAACTGCTCACTGCAAAAGGGCGTAATTTCCTTTCGAAGGCACGTGTTTACGATAAGATGAGCAGCAATCTGTTTTTAAAGAAGCAATATTGATTAACACCTCATTCTTGATCGCATCGCACCAACGAGTTTATAAACTGCGATAAATTACAAAGTTTATTTTTTTTATCTTACAACGAGTCCAGTGTTGCAATCCAGTGAACAGTATCTGAGATCGGTTGCAATCGCAGGAATTTCGAAATTTCCGGGAAATCTTGTTGTCTACCCTCAGGCTTTTCCGTTCATCTCGTGTTCCTGCTTCTAATTAATGGGAGCAACAGTTTAGTGAGCGTAACTCTAGTGTCTCTCTATCTAGATTGTTTTACCAGCCATGAAAAAAAAGCAGCGTACTTTAAACAGATCCACCTAAATTGCGTTACACCGTAGAAAAAATTGAAACATCCAAACAAATCACCTAACCTCCAGAGCTTTCCCCATAAAGAGGACTTTACTCGAATTACGTAAAGCGAATCAAAAACATTAAAACTGCAGAATTGTATTAACTGTAAAGCAATTGAAATCTTTTTTTTTTACTTTCTTGAAAAATTAAAGGCCATAAATGAATTTGCTACTTTTACCCTAGACAACAGTATTTAGCTGCATCCTTAAGAATTTTGAGACATCATGACTACAGTCTAAAATGTGTACTCTCGATTGCGACGTCATTAATTTCTACTCATCCTTCATATTTTCTATAAAAAAAAAACTACCTGAAAATCTTTCTTGAAATTGTCTGTCTATTCTTTTCCCTTGTCGGCAATTATTGACAGGAATGAGTTCTAAGAGACATCTAAACAGAATCGAAGGTTTTGAAGCGTTGCATGTGTAGGTTACACATTTTTCGCCTAAAGCTATTGATAAATCTTCATTGATACAGATTTTGCAGTCTGGTGCTTATTCTTGTTTGTGACTAAAAATGAGGAATATATATATATAAGTGCTTTTTTGAATGACTGAATTGGATGTATTTATGCTAAAAGGAACTATGTTGCACGCAAACCCTGTATGCACATAGTTCCTTTTAGCATAAATACGTCCAATTGCAGAGTCGGTTTTCACTCGAGAATGTTTAGATTATAAAATTAGGTTAGTAGCGCTCGTCGTAAATCTGTATACTTCCAGGGAGAAAATTCTGGAGATTACAGTGGATAATAAGCTCTATTCAAATGACAAGTTTTTACTCTGTAAAAATCGCAATGATCAGGATCAATGGCATTCTCTACGGCAGTGCATATTGTAGCTCTACCGTCATAACTTGCATAAATGACCGGCATAATTCTCCAATTTTTTCGTGATACTTTGTACGATGTACGTATTCCTAGCTCTTTAGTCGGAATATTGAATCAAATGGAGGCTTTGTGAATACTCAAAGTTAATCCTTAAATTCATGAATATCAGAAGTTTCTAGTTGAGCAGACAAGGACGTAATGATGAGCAAACATATCGATGGTTAGAGTGCATAACCACGTATCTCGGTTTGTGACACTGCAGACTTCCTATCATATTTTAGTGTTTCCCTGAAAAACAATTCAATTTAATTATAATTTCTCAAAAACTTCCTTGATTTTTCTTCTCCGCAAGCAAACTATTCTGTAAAAAGTTCAAGCTATAAAGTTGGCTTGTTTTTCCTCAACACGGAAAAAAAAGAGGTAGGGGTTGATGAACTGTTGGATGATATGGACATTCCCAATTAATTGTGGCAATACCCCGATTAATTGTGGTAGTATCCCAATTAATTGTGGTAGTATCCCGATAAATTAGGTTACTAACCCAAATGTTGCTGTACTGCCCCAACTTGAGTTGCGGTGCTACCAAAATTAATTGGAAATGTCCATATCATACAACAAATTGGGGTAGTGCCACAATTTTAGGGGATAACCCCTGACACTTTATTTTCCGTGGAAAAAAGTGGGAATAACAGATATTTTTAAACATCGCAATGGGAACACGTGGTTTTCGCACTTTAGCCATCAATATGTAAGTATCGATAAAACATAACGTAAAGTGAATAGAATGTCCCTGATTAAAATATGAATACTTGAAGGATCGATTGAAGGCCAGCATAGACTTGTTTGTCTTCAACACGTCCTTTTTTTGAGCCATTTTAATACTAGATAAATCCTTTTTAAAGTTTTCCACAAAAAAGAAACTAACTTCGAATATATGAACTTTAGTGAGTCTAATTTCTGATAAATTTACGCAACCATTATTGATTCCAGACAGAGCGGTGAAAACGTCCCAGTAAAGGTTCCAGCTCACGTTCAAATAGGGCCCTCGATCTGGCTCTAATTCTTCAATTTCTCCGCCATTTTTGCACAAAACTCCTTGAAAATTTCAAGATCTGATCTGTAACGTGTTCCAAAAATATCTGTTACCTTCAAAGGTCGTCGAGTCGACGATCTTTGAAAACCCGATATCTTTACTAACCCGATAGTTACATCAACATCCATGGTTGTTGATGTAACTACCGGGTTAATTGTGATCTCCACCGCGGTAATTATCGTAACTACCGCACGGTAGCTGGCGCATTTTTAACTAGCCACTGGTTGTATCGACTACCCTATTTTTTTCCGTGTTGCTTTAT